TCTTGTATGTAATAATTATCAGTTTGCAATGCAAGCTTAAGTTTGTTCATATGTAATGAGTAAATTGGTCTCCTTACAAGAACAACATACTTAAACAAGACTAAGCAAGCATCCACTGTCAACCAAAAACAACTTCTTTTACAAAACCTTAAAGCACAAAATCCAACAACAAATAAATTCCTTTTCAGCGAGTCTTCGCGATACAATCGGCCGCTCATACTACGAGGCTCGAGGAAGATATCCAGATGACTTCTGGCGTTTGAAAGCTGGAGGTGGCGGGGTCAAGGAATTGGCTGACGAGACCAAGTTCATGCAGCCAGGAGTTGAGCTTCCAGAGCTGATCGTTCAGGCCAGGGCAGCGTATAATACACTTACTGATTGTCTACTCAGTGGGCCTGAAGAAGAAGAACCGGTCGTTGAGAAGGTCTATGATGATGTTAGCGGTGTAAGTGTAATACAGTCATTGTTTTTTTCAATTAAGATTCCCTTTCCGATACGAAACTCCTTAAACCTTTGTATAGGCAACTCTATGTTAAAAACCTCCTTTGTATAAACGCGCGTAGTGCGATAAGAAAAATGGTGGTAACGTGGTGTGTTGGCGCTAAAATTTAAAAATCGAAGCCCCGCCCACGCTTCGCTCGCGCGGGCTCCGCGCCTGCGCCATCAGTCGCCGCCAAAACTTACTGAGTGAGGGTGTGTTGAAAAAGCTCCGTGTTCCCGCCAATTTTCTCAGTTTCTGGAATTCATTGTGGACAACATCCAGCCCTAATCTGTTACACTACATATGCTTAAATATTTAATTTATTGCTTAAAGAAGACGAACGTGTATTGCAGACTGACTCTTATTCACTAAAAACCATTCCGGTATCCCGTCGCGTAGAGAACCGAGGGCGACAGGATACATCCCGTATGGCGAGGGATCTTCATTTCGATTACTCGGGTTTACATGTACTACTGCAATATTACTACTGTTAGGGCTGATTTTTCCAACGCCAGATAAATGTTAACCGAGGAATAACTTTGAATATTTGACAATTCTTCTCTTCGATCAACAATAGCAACTAGATATCGGGTCGGCGCAAGAAAATCGTCTCGACAAATAAGAGCTCACTTGAGAAGTGAGCTCTTATTTTGTTTAGTATGCTCCAAACACGGCCAACGTACTCACGTCTCACGATGCCGCAGTGCGTAATTGCAAGTTGCAAAAATAACAACCGAAAAAGCAGTATAACGGCCGGAGTGTCTTACTTACGATAAGTACATAAAGTATAAGTTGTATTTTAAGCTTTTAAACTAGTAAATAATATCAAATTAGACAAAATTACCAATTATAAACCAACGCCACCAATGTTTGTGCGTGTTGGCGATCCATTGGCCAAGCATCGCCAACACGTGCACAAACATTTCGTCACCTTTATGGTAAACTTACGAAACTGCAAAAACCAAAGTTTACAGGGGAGCGTTTTGAAACTTTAGATTGACGATATTTATTTTTTAGAAAGTGATGTAATAAATTTTTCGATAAATTTCAGTTTCAAAATCCGCCCGTTTTTATTTACCATGAATGGATTGTACATATAAAACACGTATCAAAAATAAATGCATATTCGTTACTTTACACCTTCATACACGAGAGTTTAAAGGTATTATATTACGCTTTAGCAAACTTACGAAAGTGGTAGTTTCGTAATTTCATAAGAAAACTATTGAAAAAATATTTTGGTAAACTTACGAAAGTGCCACTTTCGTAAGTTTGGTGAAGCGTAATATAATACTTTTGAACTCTAATGTATGAAGGTGTGAAGTAAAGAAAATGATTTTTTTTGTTATTCTTGTAGTATAAGAATAATATATTCACGGTATTATAGTAATTATTCCTTTAAAGACGTGATTTATCTCAAAAGATAAGTTATAGGTAGTAATAATACGTTTCAGAAAAAAAACAAGTGAATTCATTATAATTATGTTTGGAGTATTAGTAGGGTAATAATAAAATACTTACCTATACAAATAATCGTAATTATTTATTTCAGACAAAAAACAATACAGTCGCCACTTTCACAAAACAATCAAAGTAAATCGAAATCATCAAAAAAATCAAATCGTAGATAAAAATATTTGATGTGTGAGATAAAAAGAAACTGTAGGTACTCTTACAGTTTCTCATCTTCTTCAACATCTGGTTCAGGCAAGCGATCTTCAATAGCTTCCGAATCTGGGAGGTTTTTATAAAAGGAATGGTAATATTTTGGGATTTGGTTATCGGTACAGAGTTTTAACAGATCTCTTTTTTTTTGTTTGGAAATAGGCATTCTTTCTGTGTAAATATTTTTTGGTACTATACACGTACTTTTTCCTCTTTTTGGTTTTATATTAAATTCTTTAAAGGTCTCGTCATTGTAGTCAGTTTTAATAAATATTGATTTAGGGTTGTCTTTACGGTATTGAATCCATACAGCATCTTGGAAATTTATCTTTACTTTAGGTCTTGTCTCCTCTAGTGCTCCATTATCTTCTTGTTCATTATTTCTTTTAACTTTATTCTTTCGCTTCGAACTTTGTTCTTTCGCTTCCACAAACTGACACTGATTGGGGTTGAAATCTAAAAAATCGTCATGAACTAAGACATTCACATTAAATGGCCGAGGATTAGTTCTGGCTAGTCTCATCACCTGTATCCACCCATCTGGAGTGTAAATTGCTGTATTTTTACATTTCTGTTCTATTTTCGAGTGAATAGAATCACACTCCATGTGACTATGTCCAGACTCGTAGAAAACATGATCAATTATGTTTACTGTGGAATGACTCGTTACCAAGTGGAGCAACATACAGCAAAAATTATAATTTTTTTGTTGGCCGCCACAATTATCTGACATCATTCTCACATGTGTTACGCCTTGTTTACTACAAATATATTTAAAAACACAAGTTGCAATTTCAGTACTTCCCCGTTTACCCTCCGTTTCGTCCCAAGTAAAACAGTCTACGTCTTGATCGCCAAATTTATAAAATGTTAAATTGTATACAGCTAATTTCCGAACATAAAAGAATGGTCCAGACGCACCTTTAGGAGTTTGGAGGACTGCTTGTAGGTCAAAATTAAATGCCAAAGTCTTCGGATCATTCTTTGCTGCTGTTTTGTCTGCGTCTCGACGCAGATAAGCATCATCGCGCCGCTTAAGATGTTTTGAATGATTTTCCTCTTCAGGGCTGCTCAGGTCATGTGTTTTTAATTCCTTGTAAGCAACACACTTTTTGCAGAGATCCTTTTTCGGCACATGGAATTTTAATTTATAGGACCTGAAGACTTTCCGGTAAGTCTCTATTCCTGCTGGGATTTCGCCTTCATCTTCACATTTTTTTTTGTATAAAGAATACATGATGGTCACATTCAGTCCAGAATCTAGATACCTGAACTCTGAATTTTTTCTGCAATAGTGCGAGTCCATGGTAGGAAATGAAAAAATATGGTTTTTAATTCTATCAAGTCTCTCACTAGAAAGTTTGTTAGATGGAGGTTTTTTGCCTCTTTTGTCAGCTAAAAGAACCCCTTCTTTAGAAATCTTTTTTAAAGCACCCCGTACTATTCCTTCCTTGATGTTTAAAGTGTCTAAAAAGAAATCTCTGCATACAGTAACTTTTCTATTGTTTACTGTAAAACAATATTGATGCGTGCTTACTTTGCGCGATGGACCATTTACAGTAGATCGTTTCTTATTTTCTTTTGTAACGTGTTGGATAATAAATTGACGCTGTGCTTGTAATGATTCCATAGCTCGAAATGAGTCATAAATTATTTTTCTCGCATCTTCAGGTACATTAGCGTTGCATTTATGTTTGTCTTTTGTCAGACACTTGGGTTGCTTCAACGTCGCAGCCGCAACATATTTTCCTTTGATTGTTTTATATGCTTTACCTCTCAAACGTTTTTTCCTTTCGATATGTCTTTTCCAGGTATTAGGATTTGAAACATGCTTTTTCTTCGGGGAGCTAGACTTAATTATTGAAAATATGGCACCGGACACAGAAGCACGTCTTTTTAATATTTTTGCAGGTGGTTGCATCAGCTGCAAGTCGTTTTCCGAGCATCGCCTCTCTGGTAGTTTGGAAGTAACTTGAAACTGTCGATTACTGCCCCTGTTAAGTCTGCTAGTTTCCGAAAAACGTGGTATATCAGCCGTAGGCAAAATAACTTCTGTTAATTTTTCATGACTTTCGTTATCATTCAAAGATGAACAAGAGGTGGTCGTTTCATCTATATATATTCCGTTATTATTCGAGACGTAATCCGGATCCCTTACACTGTCATCACTATCGCAATAATCAATTACATCTACATGATTTGAAACATCATTATCTTCGTTGGTTGCTTCATGCTCAGTGAAAATATGAAATAATTGCTGTGTTTCTGGAGACATTTCTGGAACAGGTGATGATAATGGTGAAACGCTGTTCATCATTGCTGCCAATAGAGATGGTGAGCGTAGTGTACGTATGTCTTCTTGTATTTCTTGCGAAATGACAGGATCAACAATAACTAAAACAATGCAAATTTATTTACTTTAGTTACCAATTCATAGTTTGAAATCATTTATAAAAATACAATGTATTTAAGCTGGATAAGCCGTAAAGAAGTATTAAACATACAATCATCACACACTCAGCAACTAGATGCATATACTTATAATGTCATGATAACACTATTTTTACCTTATATTATTTCGTGATTGGACATCACGAAATAATATAAGGTTTTGGTATTTAATTGAATTATCTTACCTGGTAAATTTTTATCGGTACTATTTTTATTCATATTAAGTGGGGTAATTGGTGAATATGGTGGTGGAGAAACTGAAAGCAGCGTGATTGAATTTGGCGTTACTGGATTGGAGTCAGCTGAAAAAAAAACAACTTATACAATCTGACACGCGATTGGCGCCATTAATTACAACCTTTCAATTTAGGCAGTTCTAGGTGGCCGGCGGCCGAGCGGCTGCTGGCGGTTAAGAGCCGCCTAAATTGTAAGCGCCGTAACCTTTTTCTATCAAGTAGGTAGGTATGAGTAAGTCGTATATTCATTGCAATTAAACTGTCAAATATCAAGCGGTCACCGGTGACCGCAACCTATTGTTCTATAATTGTGTCTGCAAAACCGGTACTCGACGAGTTAATACAAGGTGTAGGGGCCTGTTTACGCAGACGCGGCGCGATGAGCGACGCGTGGCGCGTTCGTCGTACATTGCAGCAGCGAGCCGAGTCATCGCACGCGCAATTACAATCATATGGCAATGTACGACGAACGCGCAACGCGTCGCTCACCGCGCCGCGTCTCCGTAAGCAAGCCCTAAGAGACATCGTAACGTAAACTTTTACCATGGATTCAGTAGGTACCTACATGAACTCTGCGGCGTCAAAAATCATGTACTGAATCCATGGTAAAAGTTTATGTTACAAATAGAATAATCTTACCTGGTAAATTTTTATCGGTACTATTTTTATTCATATTAAGTGGGGTAATTGGTGAATATGGTGGTGGAGAAACTGAAAGCAGCGTGATTGAATTTGGCGTTACTGGATTGGAGTCAGCTGAAAAAAAAAACAATGTAAACAAACTAGCTCGCAATTTATGCCATTAGCTGCAACAGTTTGTTAATTTTCCATTCCATAGTAGCTATAACCCTTATTAAATAAAGGTATGAGCAAGTCGTTTATTCATTGCAATTAATAAAATTACTGTTATTAATACCTATTTGTTATAGTCCCGCTATAAACTAAAATCATGCCCGTTTACAAAGCAAAGCACACAAAACATTTCCAACACCTACCGACATGCAGAATATTATACGATTCATATCGCAATAAGTACCTAACCCGAACCAATATCTGTCACGAAGCGCGTTGTATCCCCTCGCGGAGCATTTGCAATGTTCACTCGTCGACCGTTAGCATAGACACTGTATAATGAAACTATCAAATTAAGACACAAATAGTTAAAACACCCTAAGATACCTATGAAATATTATAAGAAATTCCAACGTACTTCTTGAGTCAACATGAGCCAATTGTCCTTGAAGGATAATTTTTTTGATATTCATTAATTTATTTTTTTTATCCAGCAACTGTTCTAATGACAAAATCTGTAAAAATAAATAACAATTATTCGTTAAAATCGTCATCTGATAAAATTATGACCATAAATAGTTATGTTATTACAAATATAATAATATTTAACAATTAACAATTGAATCGTTTAATACTCACTTTATCATTAGCTTCCATTTTTTATTCAGTTATTATTGATACGCACCTCTTCATAAATTACTAAATTAAAACACAGAACACTTGTTACAAATGAAATAAGGATAGCAGCAAACAAAAGACGACGACACCTACGTCTTCTCTGACGTTTGTTACACTATTGACCGTTGCCCGATACTTTTGAATTTAATGACAATAATAAAATACTCTGTCTCGCTTTCACCAATACAACGTTCGGCAGTTGTGTTCCCGATTACGCATAACTTTGAACTAATATCGTTATTTTTTATTATGTTTGCTATGTTGTGATATTAATATTTCCTTTTATTTAGTATTACTTAAAACCTTAATCATTTATATGAAGCTTCTATAAACATTTTTTTTTCTTAATCAAACTACCAATGTAAATTTACGAAAATGCCCAATTCGTAAGTTTGCTATGGGACATTATAGAAACTTAAAAAAAAACTCCCAATGCGGACTTACGAAAATGCCTGATTCAGAAGTTTACTATGGGATATTTGACCCTCTTTGTCAAACAAGGTACCAATGTAAATTAACGAAACTGCTCGATTCGTAAGTTTGCTATAGGTTACTGAGTCTCTTAAAGAATATATTCTACCAATGTAAACTTACGAATCTGACATATTCGTATGTTTACTGTGAGTCGCTAGATCAATACATAAAAGTTTGCTATGATCTCAACTCACGAATATGACAGATTCGTAGATTGACCGTGGTGCATTTGTTTCGGACTTCATGTTTTCAACTACGCCAAAACAACTGATATCGGATTCGTAAGTTTAATATAGGTGTATCAACAAAAAAGTTAGATTCGTACTATAACTTTTCTGTAACCGTTAGAGATAGAAATTTGAAAATTTTACACCATGTGTAGGACAACATAAGGTGTAGTTTTTAATAGAAATGTCAAATTCATAAAAACTGCAGATTCGTAAGTTTGCCGTAGAGGTGACGATTTGTTTAACCGGAACAGTGGATACATGGAGTCGATTTGTATTGTAAAATAAAATTGTATTGTAACCTGATTGGAAAAGAGTACCTAACCTATGGAGTTTCTTGCTCGTTCTTCTCCATAGGAATCTACACCTTCGAATGAGCAAATAGTTTACTTTTAAATTTATGTTATTGACGTTCAAAAGTGCCTTCCTGGTCTAACTGAAATAAATGATTTTGACTCAGACTTAAACTTTTAATAATAAAGTATATAAACAAAATATCATACACAAAAACGTACCGCTAATAAAAATAATTGATGTATACTAAGATCCCGAAATCTTAATTTTCATATTATAAAATTATTTAAGTGTTCAACGCGACTCCATGCATACCTCCTGTAGCGAAATTCGAAATTCGAAAAAGCAAAACGTAACAAAACAAAACGATATAGATCGCAAGGCAATAACGGATAAATTTTCTTTATTTGTAGTATCTTAAGGTTGAATTCAAACTAGATATTGTGTAACTTATGTCTTTTAATTTCTACATGACAGGAGTAAGAAAATGTTTTTCTCGTCTTATATGACGAATGGTGGTAAGTATTAAATAATATTTTGACGATTTATGACTTTATTATTAGGTGCCATGGTTGTTATTAGGTTGAACTTGAAACTATTTTAAAACATTTTCCTCCATTTGTTATATTTTTACTATTATTATTCACACGGACAGAACTGGAGCTTGATTTTGTACGTAACCCTTTATCTAGTTGCTATTGTTGATCGAAGATACCATACATTTACTTTTTTCAAATAAATACAATAAACTAATATTAAAATCGCAGTCATGACAAACAAATAAAAACTATCGAATGATTCTCAATAAAATGTTAATTTTTTTCACCAATCACTAGACTTGTGCCAAAGATTTGATCAAAGAAGTAAGGGAATTTATTTTGTAAAACCTTAATACATAATTAGACTTCACTTATCAGTAGATAAAATAATATTGAACTTATTCAAGTCTTATACGATCTAACAAATCAAATAAATATATGAATCATGTACCTATTGAAAATGTAGTCCTGGTGGAGTATTAACTACAATATGTACGTACAAATAACAGACAAACATGTTTAGCTAGTACTTTGATATATGAACTATTAGTGTAGTTAGTAGTTGATTATTAGTGACTTAAAAACCCCTAGGTGTAACGGTATGAGTCGGTTTGTATATAAATTACAAGCCAAACATAAAAAAAATTGTACGTACCTACTTGAGCTTTTTACTGCATAGAGATACGTACCTGTCCTATTTCCTAATGCGTGAATATAAAATCGAGGCAAAAATAATTAGCTCTTACTAATTCTAGCAACAAAGTCAGACTTACCTTCTTGAAGATTTAGATCACACGAAACTAAACACAAGAATAATACAAACACAAATATTTTACTAATAGCTACAGCCATATCTTGCGAAGACTTAGAGCCAAATGGTAAACATTGTGCCCAAACTTGCACAAAAACAAGTTATTCATCGCTTGTGACTAATAGTTAATAATGATCTCTGAGAATCGTGATGTAAATTTGATAATAGGATGTAGCAGTACCTACACACACGAGATGAAAAAGGTCCCATATGAACCTAGTGAGATCAACTAGGGTTTAACTATCTTAAAGGATAAAGACAAGGAAAAAAGACAAGGAGCTATAAATTAATAAATTATTATTTTTAATATAATTAAAATTACTTATTAAATTAAACAATGTCATTATTGAGGTTTAGCATTTAGCCACTTTTCAAGCCAAATATTGTCTTTTTTCATGCGTTCTTCTGTCTCCTCAAGCCAGACGATGCTCTCGATCCAGGGTACGTAGTAAGAGACCCTGGTGTACATGCCAGGCGAGCCGAGGATGCCGCAGTCCTTGCCGAATGACGTCACGCCGACCACTGTGTACTGACATTTAAACTGGTTCGTCTGGAGGGGACCACCGCTGTCACCCTGGAGAATATAAAAATGATAAAGATATTTCTGCTAAAGTTAAGTCATTCATTCTAAAAGACCAATTCAACAACTAAGTGTTTGCTAAGTTCAGGGTATTTCATTGCATCTATTAATATACGTGCGTACCTCACATGTATCGATTATCTCTTCATGATTGCCGTAACACGATTGTGTTTTATTATCGTATCCATGTTTCAGAAGTCTGTGTGGTGGGAAGAGTGTTGCACATTCAGAATTTTCAAACTCCTGAAGAGTCACCTGTAATGAGAGTATATCAGTAAATATTAGAACCATCAGTTTATATTCTGTTATAAATTGGACACTGTTCAAAGTGCATTACTTACAACTTGTAATGTATCAGCTAAACCCTTCATACTGCCCAAACGGCCCCAACCGGATGCCTCAGCCGTGGATACTATATTCATTCCAGTATCCAGACATGCTGGCAGAAGATTTCTACCAAAATTTATTCTGAAAATCACCATTTAACATGTTTTATTCTAGTTATAATACTATGTACAAGTTTGTTTATAAGTCGGGCCTAAAGTTGTTCCTTGAGGAACACCAGTAATATAAATATATTATATTACTGGTGTCATATCTAAGAGATACAAATGTATTAAATTTAGAAATGGCTGTAAATGATATAGATTTTCATGATCGGAAAGCGAATATATTAATATAGATTAATAATAATAATGAACACAATAATGCAAGTTATAAAAAGCTTTCAGATTAATCGCAATATTTGCTCAAATCAATCAAATCAAAAATGTTTATTTGCTAAAATACGGCACAAAAAGTGTACAAGTACAATTTTTTCCAGCATATCCTGCCTTATACGGCGTGCAAATTTATTATTAAAATTACACTGTAAAGACCATCAAACACTTCTGAAATATACCAGAAATGCCCTTACTTCTCATGCAAGTGGATGCGATTTTATAATAAATATCGTGAGAAATACTAATTTAAGCAAAATGGCGGGTGACTCACGTGAAAACATGAGAAAAGCTCTACTAGTTTCTAAGAACAGAAGGGTTCTTCCTCATGAGCAGCGTGCGCGGTCGCGGCGACGTCGCTCTTGACCACGCTGCTCATTAGGTAAGTAGCCCGCGTCACTCACATCATTAGGCTCACGTAAGTAACCCGCGATTTAACTTAATCATGAGGGTTTGAGTTTGAAACTTGTCAAGTACCAATGTGACGTTATCACGGTATACAAGTTTTATATACTTAAAATCATTATGTCATACGTTAAGGGAAAGATCGTGAGAAAACCTGAATTATAATTTCTAATTGTAAGATTGATGTCGCCAATTCGCCTTGATGAAGCGTAATGTTCAATTTTTTTCTTTACGGAAAGAGGCCTTTGCTCAGTACGTTGGAATTCATGGGGTAATGACAGCTAATGATCAGGAATAATAAAATTCGTACACTTACTCAGTTTCTGTCTCCAGAAGGGCAATATCATGGTATTTGGAAGGAGGTTTGTATTCAGGATGACGAATGATTCTCTTGATTTTATGTATGCGCCATAAGTCCTGTGGGTCGGTACGTTTTAGCATTCCCAGTGCAGCATATGAGACGTTTCCCCTTAAATTGACAAAACCGTAAAACAATTAAAAATATGAAACGAGAAGTACCTATAATATAACAAGTGAACAATGATAATGTCATTTGAAACTTACAAAACTCTGGTCGATATGCAGTGTGCAGCAGTCAGTATGAATCTTTCGCTGATCACAGTTCCTCCGCAAAGCCATTGCGCGGAATTCTCGTCATCTCCGTATCCAAGTAAAGCCTAAAAAAAATAGATCATCCATAATAAATATCGATTCTATATTCCCGAAGTGCTAGAAGAAGAAATTACAAACCAATCGTTCAAGTCTTACAAGTTCATTAATTAGTGGTTACTGGAGGCTCAATTCCTCCCTTTCTCAATCTTCTCAACCCCCAATCCTACAATCCCTAACCGGCAAAAGGCCAGCAACACTGGTGTTGTGAGTGTCCAAGGACGGCGCCGATTGCTTACCATCAGGTAATCCTTCAGGTCGTTTGCCGGCCTATTCAATAATAAATCTTTACTTCTTAAACTGTCAAACACCAAGCGGTCACCGGTGACCGCAACCTATTGTTCTATAATTGTGTCTACAAAACCAGTACTCGACG